GAGGAACTGCACCTCTTCCCATTTGACCTGATGCATTTCTGCACACTGCGCTTCATTTGGGGCCTGCCCGTGAGGACCCCAGTAGACCACGGTGAGGGCTGCACTGATGCCACAGCCAGTGCCTATTCACTCAGCAGCCAGCTTCCAAATCTTGCCCGTCAGTAGACTCAATTTTTTCCAATGAAACTTTATTAACATTTTTATATTTTCCATCTTGAATTGGTATAATGGGTGCCAGTGCTTGGGCTTTATGGAACACCGCGTCTGTGACAACAAGCCAGCCTGGAGTCCCATCTGGAGGGACTCGTGTGCTCTTTGGTTACCCCGCCCTGAAACTCAGGCCCAGGCCCCCTTGAGATGATGTGGGACCTCTTGGGGTCACTTACAACACTTGGAGCCCTCAGGATGGAGCTCCTAGAACCCCCTGTCTCGTGGAGACCTGGCCACTGGCTAGCCTGAGCCAGGTGGGCTCCTAAGGGCTTGTCTTCTTCTTTTGTTTCAGTCTCAGCTTGTTCCAGATCCTCTCTAGGACCACTTTTCCCATGAAGAAGGTGATGGCAAAGTTACGCTTGTACCAGTCTCTGTAGACAAAAAGAAAAAACACAGGTGAAACAGCGTCAGGACCTGCAGGCAGCTCCAGGCAGGAGTAAATTCATTTGACCAGTCCTCCACTCTCATCGTCACTAAGCTGAACTATCCACAGAAGTCTTCCCTCCTTCAGGCTGAGGAAGGCTCCCTGGGGACGTATGGGCACCCCCCTCCCCCACTCCTTGCCATTCCTGGAGGCCACTGTAATCCTCCTTTGGATTTTGCTACAAGACCCCAGAAGAGCCCTTGGAAACTGGGCCTTTCTAGTCCAGCAGCATTCTTGGACAGAGACAACTGTGGAGTGATGGGGGCGTGACCACTTAGCAGAGTGCCTGGCAGGCTCTGTGGGGAAAGAGAGGGGTCCCTCTTGGCTTTGGCACCTTATTTGCATAAGAAGCACAGGACAAAAATACTCCATTGTGAGGCACTAATTTATCAAGAGTGCCAACATCATAAAGCTCCATATCCTCTTTTTCAAGATCCTCTGAGCTTTTGTGTAAACTGTGTCTCTGAAGAGATAATTCCAGAATTTCTCATAGAAAAATAGTGGGATGGAGTTCACACATAGCCAGGGGCTGGCTCGCCTGTGAGTTACTCTATGGGATACAATGAAATTTACAGTCACTGCGTTGCTGGAAAACTCAAATGAACAGGCAAAGCTTGGAAAGTTTCCACAAGAGAATGCACTGATTCCAGACCCTTAGTACTGAGCCCTGGAAGCTGAAATGCCAACAAGCACCTGGGCCTTCTAGCATGATGCGCTGAGTGAGTGTAGACTTCTGTTCCGACTGGACTCATGATTTGTTGGGTCTTAGGATAGAGGTGAAAGGATAGAAGGTCAAAATGGAGTAGTTGTAGCTAAAAAGAGCAGCCGTTTAGCATTGCTTAGCCTTGTTATGTTTTTTTAGCAGTACATTTTTTTTTTTTTTTTTTTGAGTTGGAGTCTCACTCGGTCGCCCAGACTGGAGTGCAGTGGCCGCTCCCGGCCATTGCAGCCTCGCCTGCTGGGCTCCGGCGATCCTTCCGCCTCAGCCTTCTGAGTAGCTGGAATTACAGGCATGCGCTACCACGCCCGGTTGATTTTTTGATTTATTGTAGAGATGAGGTCTCGCCTGCCCGGCAGGTCTCGAACCTGCGGGCTCAGGCAATCCACTCACCTCAGCCTCCCAAAGGCGTGGGATTACAGGCTGAGCCAGGAGCCCGGCTTTGAAATGCTTCTTAATGCTTTCAAAACAACGGCAAGGACACAAGACTGATGTTATCAAGACTTTAGGAATGCAGCTGCTAGATCTTTTTTTCTTTAACCTTGTTTTCTTGTTAAAACTTTAAAAGCCCTCCTTCTTCAACCCCTACAACGTCTTAGTGTTGGTCTCATTCTCCCTTGAACATGAATAAATTATTTTGCTTTGCCTTTGCAATTCTTTGCTTTCTTCCCATGGCATCGGCCTACCTTGCCTCAGTTTACTTGAACAAGAAGAAAGGATAATGCGCAATGGCTCAAAAGCAGCATAACAAAAGGTAAAAATGCTTGTTTTTTGGAGCCTTTGCATGGGTGGGTTGAAAACCCCCCTCTCTACATGTCAACAATTTTTATACTTCTACCCACGCAAGTGATGCTATAGTAAGCAGTAGGCCAGGCTCAGTGGCGAACGCCAGTAATCCAGCACCTTAGGAGGTTGAGGCGAGAGGATTGCCAGAGGCCAGGAGTTCCAAACCAGCCTGGACAACTTGGTGAGACCTCATTTCTACAATTAAAAAAAACAAAAAAAATTAGCCAGGTATGGTGGCATGTGCCTGTAGTCCCAGGTACTTGGAAGGTGGAGGCAGGATTGCCTGAGCCCAAGAGGTTGAGGCTGTGGTAGCCTTGATCATGCCACTGTACTCTAGCCTGGGTGACAGAGTGAGACTCTAACTCAACAAACAAAAAAGCAGCAGTACTTTAAGTAAATACCAAGGGTTTCCAGGAAAATAAGTTTGGTATCCTGTCGGGATTAAAGTCCTACATTATTAAGAAAAAGCCGGATTCTACTTCACCAATGCAGACAACCTGATGTGATGGCATGTAGCTTCCCTGTTTCCACAGGGAAAGCAGGAGCATGAGGTAGGTGGGTGAGGCTCAGGCTCTTCAATGGCCTGATTTTGAAGGAGGCTGACCCTCTTTACCCTGAGGGCCACACAGTAAACATCAAGCCTATCAGAGACCATGCATGGTGTAAACAAGCTGTGTGGCCAGAGGTCTTGGAGAATATTATAACTTAACTATATAACTTTACTAATTCAGAGTAATTCGTGACAGCCTGAGGAACTGAATCCAAATGCTTCAGGATGAATCTTTAGGTCAGACTGATACTCATGGGCTCATCCAACCTGGACCACATCAACATTTCTGAGTCTTGTCCCATCTGCCTGTTGGCCTCCGTTACTGTTATATTTTAAAGCAAATCTCAAATATCATATCCTTTCATTTCACCTGTAAATACAGGTCTATGCATCTGTAATCACCTAAGTTCCGGGTACTTGGAAGGCTGAGGCAGAAGGATTGCTGGAGCCCAGCAGATGGACACTGGGATGGCCACGAGCATGCCACTGCACTCCAGCCTGGGTGACAGAGTGAGACTCTAACTCAAAAAAAGAAAAGAAAAAGGGTATTTTAGACAGGTAGTCAGAGGACAGAGACTGGTATATTAGTTTGTATTAGTAAGAAATTGTTTTTTTTTTTTTTGGACAGGCATGCGCTACTACATCCAGCTAATTTTTCTTTTTTATTTATTGTAGAGATGAGGTCAGCTGGTCTTGAACCTGCTGGCTCAGGCAAACCACTTGCCTCGGCCTCCTAAAGTGCTGGGATTACAAGCTGAGCCACTGAACCCAGTCCCTTTTTCTTTTTTGAGTTGGAGTTTCACTCTGTTGCCCTGGCTAGAGTACAGTGGCATGCTCATGGGCCACCGCAGCCTTGACCTGCAGGGCTTAGGCATTCCTTCCAAGTAGTTGGAACCAGAGGCATGAGCCACCATGCCCAGTTAATTTTTTTGATTTATTATAGAGATGAGGTCTCGCCATGTTGCCCAGGCTGGTTTCAAACCTGTGGGCTCAGGCAATCCTCTTGCTTCTGCCTCCCAAAGTGATGGGATTACACGTGTGAGCCACTGTGCCTGGCCAAAGTATCTTTTTACAGGTGGTGTGTCTAAATTGGAATCCAAACAAGGTCTAGATATTGCATTAAGTCTCTTTCAATCTATAAGTTCCCTCCCTTTCTTTTTTACTTTTGGTTATTCTACTTATTTGTTGAAGACACTGGATGATTTGTTTGCAAAATGTTCAGCATTTGGGGTCTGGTGATTGTATCTTCAGGGTATCATTTCAAACACAGTCTTCTATGATGCCCCGCCCCTCCCACTCCTTGACCTTTTTCCCGTAAACTGGTACTTAGATTTGGAGGCCTGACTAGATTCAAATTCCATTTTGTTTTTAATTTCTATTTTCTTTTTGTACAAGGGCAGTTTTGTTATTCTAAATTCCATTTTCTATGAAAACACCTCACAGAGGGTGTGTGGACTCCCTCCCTTGTCACAAAGGCTGTCCCACTCTGCAGTGTGAGAACACAAAGAGGCCCCCGTGTGCCAGCCTGACCCACCATCAGGAAGTCTTCTATTGCTTTCCTGCTGGGGTGTCAGCAGCCATGGATGACTGTGGCCTAGATCCAGGACTGAGTTAGGAAAATGCTGATTTGCTGACTCCATGGTTCTTCCTGCATTAGCTGTCTTTCTTCTACAAAGAAAAATGCTCTTCTGTTTGGATGCCTTGAAATACAGTTGGTGCAGGAAAGTCATGAGGGCTGCATATTCTGTGGATTCTTTCATCCTACATTTTCAGAAAAAAGAGTTGACAGCCCAGACCTACGTAGAGGTGATCTGTGAGCGTCTCTCAGTATCATTATGATCACAAAAGTTTGCATATCTGATATCTTTTTAAAGAGTTGATATATTTTAACCCACTCTGGTCTCTTTTCTTTGTGAGGCTGAGATGTCTTCATCTTTGACCTGTGGGAGCCTAGTGGAGTTGTGCCTGCGCCATCTCACGTGACCCCAGTGATTCTGTCAGCTTCCTTGCTTTCAGCCAGAAAATGTCTCGACTCATCCTGTGCTTTTCTTATCCATGACTGTGGGTTTGTCCAAGGAAGAACAATAAACAGGAGTATTTAGAACCTCCTCTCCAAGTCCCGGGAGTGAAAATTACCACAGGGTTGCCATGCAAATAATTCAAAGCTGTCAATTTTATGAAAATAAATCTAATAGAGTCATGCAACTTCTACTAGTTATACAAACATGAATGTAGTTAAATTTTGGTAGGAAAATAATCCTATCCATTGTGGATATGCTATTCAGATCTTTGGGAAAAAAGTAAACACCTACCTGTTATAATACATGTGCTTCTGAAAATTTTTACTTAAAAATTCCTTATAAAAGTCAGCCATTTCTTCTGCACTCAGTGTTGTTTTTGGACCTGAAAGTTAATTTCAACGTAAACATTAAGACATAAGGATAAAGCAAAAAACTCACTAGGGCTAATAGACAAGTTCAGCAAGCTGTGGGATATAAGACCAATATCAACTGTATTTCTATTCACTAGCAATGAACAGTCTGAAAATGAAATTAAGAAAACAATTTCATTTATTATATGAGCAAAAATCATAAAAGACATAGGAATAAATTTGAGAAAAGATGTGTAAGACTTGTACACTGAAAACTATAAAACACAGAGGAAATATGACCAGGTATGGTAGCTCATGCCTATAATCTCAGCACCTTGGGAGGTGGAGGTGAGAGAATTGCCTGAGCCCAGGGAGTTCAAGACCAGCCTGAGCAACTTGGTGAGACATCATCTCTACAAGTAAAAAAATTAGCTGGGTGTGGTGGCTGGTGCCTATAGTTCCAGCTACTGGGAAGGCTGAGGTAGAAGGATCGCCTGAACCCTGAAGGTTGAGGCTGCGGTAGCTGTGAGTGTGCCACTGTACTCCAGTCTGGGCGACAGAATAAGACTCCAACTTGAAAACAACAACAACAATAACAACAAAAAAGTGAAAATAAAGAAGTTCCAAATAAATAAAGACATACCATGTTCATGGTTTAGAAGACTTAATACTGTTAAGATAGCCTCATTCCCCAAATTGACCCACAGATTCAATATAATCCCTATCAAAATCTCAGCTGGCTTTTGTTTTGTTTTTTTTTACAGAGACTGGCACACTTATCCTAAAATTCATATGGAAATGCAAGGAACCCCAACAGTCAGAAAAATCTTGACAAAGAAAAACAAAGTTGGAAGACTCACACTTCTCAATTTCGAAAGTTACTACAAAACCAAAACAAAACAAAAAAACTTACTATAAAACTACAGTAATTAAGATAGTATGAGTCGGGCTCAGTGGCTCAGCCTATAATCCCGCGCCTTGGGAGGCTGAGGTGAGTGAACTGCCTGAGCCCGCAGGTTTGAGACCTGCCTGGGCAACTTGGTGAGACCTCATCTCTACAAAAAATCAAAAAAATTAGCCAGGTGTGGTAGCGCACGCCTGTAGTTCCAGCTACTTGGAAGGCTGAGGTGGAAGGATCACCAAAGCCCAAC